GACGGCGGTAGAGGACTTTTAGTCAGCTTAACTGAAGTACTAACCAGTGTATGGAAGTCAAATATGATCCTCTGTGACTGGTCTCAATCACTAGTTATTCCGGTTTTTAATAAAAGCGAAAAGTTTTGTGATTGCCACAGAGGAATAAGAGGAGCACAGTGTCTAAGGTTCTATAATCATAAGATACTTGAGTGGAGCCTAGGAATAGCAAGGCCGAGAAAACTAGGCAAGCTTCAGGCCGTTGTCGTGAGGGTATCGACCAAATATTCACACCACCAGATTCTGGAACACAGGCACACTTACCGACAGTAGCTGTATTTCTCGACCGAAAAGTCTTCATGATAGTGGCTTTCAATGAAAGGGGTACCGAACAAGTACATCACCTTAATGAAGGCTCTTTATTCAAACACCGATAAAGGTGTTCGAGCTTATGGTGAAATGTCCGGTGGGTTGTGTACGTCGAGTGATGTCCGTCAAACATGCTCTCTCTCCATTCTGATTCAATTTGATAATAGACTTTCTAATAGATGTCTCACTCTCGTCAACCGACTTTACAGGGATTGGTCTAATCACAGGAGAGATTTTGGTAGGCCTAGAATACGCAGGTGACATAGTCCTGTTAGGTGAAGACACTGACAAGATGCAGAGTCTACCGAACACCTTGAATGGCTATTTGAGAATGTTTGGGGTGTGTTTCTCACAACCCAAATGCAAATTGTTACTCTAGGAATGGTCTTTATCTGTGCCACGGCTAACAATAGAGGGTGAAATGGTTGAGCGCGTTGACCACTTCACTTACCTGGGAAGTGGCATCAGCCCTGGTGGCTGGCTTGGTTGACTTTCGCCAACTTACGCCACCTGTGGTGCCGCCGTGATATCGGATTGTTTATTTAGGGTTGCGTGTACTGCACCTGCACAGCAGTCCGCTTTGTTCCACTGTATGGCTGGGAAACATGGCTATTGAAGGTGGAAGACATGAGAAGGCTGGCTTCAGGTGTTTGACCACCGTTGCCTTCGTGGTATAGGCCGTATTCCGTCATGTCACCACGTGGGTAACGCAGAAGCCAGGTGTAGAGTTTTAGGCAGAAGAGGTAAGTTGATGTGGTTGTGAACCTTCATCGACTGAGATGGTCGGGACACGTACTACGTATGCCTCGTTTCGCAATGTTGGCCGAAGTAGGTCCAGGCCGGAAAAGTGCTCAGGGGGCCAGACTAAAGCATGGCATCAATGTATGAAGTCGTTGGCTGTTGGTCTGAGCCATGTAGAGCGAAGTAGACTAGCCGGGTTGGGGTCCGTAGGACAAGAGAAACCAGTGGTTGGAGTCTGTAGGTGGTATGGCTGAGAACCCGTGTCAGTGGCGCAGATGTATACACATGTTATTCTCATCTTAACCAATACACTTATTATAATTTTTTTCTTCCTTTTTCCTCTCTTTTATTACTTTCTACTTCTTTCGGCCGGTTTTTCTTTCTTCATCTGAACTTTTATTGCCTTGTTACTTGATGTGCTGATATGAGGTGTGGCAACTTGGACCACTACACAGTAGTGTCTGGTTCTATGTTGAACGATGAAACGATGAAACAGAATGAGTTCATATCCGAGAGGTGACTCCAGCGATGGCAAAATTAGTAATAAACTCCGCATAAGTAGTGAATGAAAGAGAAATTACTAGTACTCAGACTTTTTCACACTGTTTAGTCTCGCTCTTCCGTCAACAATAATCCCAAAGAACCAAACAAAACCGATGCAACTTGGTTACCTAGCACAGACTGAAGTAACCAGGAGAGTTACTATTAATAAATGAGGACTCATGATACTATCCAGTTGCACAACACTTGTAACAAGTTTTGGACCTAGGACCCCCTGTTTTGAAGTCAATTCTCTAAGTCAACAAACCACCGTTGGTGCATCACTGCCGAACTCTGTAAACTACACACTAACTAAACAAAGACTTAAACGCAAGTCAACCATTCCAAAGGAATAGCGGTGGTCACCATTCGAAAATTCATACCCACAGAAAAACAAAGCGCAAAATCCATCTTAGTAAAGTTGATATCAGTCGCCCTGCTTGAAATTGAAAGATGTTTTTACGGCATAACACCTCATAACGATTCTGATGAACTTGTGAGTTGTTTCGGTCGTGGACTGATATATGCCATCAGTGATATTTCTTTTCGAAAAATTAAAATACTACCAGTTTAAAGTATAATAGAATGTCACTACGTAAAAGTAATGCATTTCACATCGGTCTAAAAAATCGTAGAGAAAATGAGTGAGATTATCGCACAGGTTCTACATGTAATATCAACGACTTCAAAATGCTTCTGATCATCTGATCTGATGCATCTGATCATTGGGCACGGTCAAACCCACAAGGGAAGAAAAAGACTTGAAGGACTCATTCAAGGCATCGATATATTAGGCCAAATACTAGTTTTCCAAAATTCCCATAAGAAAAAATAATAAAATAATACAAAGTAAGAAATCTTAAAATGCAAATCTGGCTGCTTCACATAAAGTCTACAAGTCGTCCTATGAAATAAAAAAATCTTTTCTCACCTGTTAGTTTCGATGATCAAAACGCAAGACCAACGGTCGACCGGCCATTCGATATCCATTTAATCCTCTAAGAGCCCTGTCAGCCTCATAACTCGTTTTGAAATCCACTAACGCCTCACCAGCTGGTTGCCCCTGAGGATCACGACGAAATCTGATTGAACCAGGAATGAAGTAATAATCACGCATAATTCCAGCCAACTGGTCAACAGTACATGTAGATGGGAGATTCCCTAAGAAAACGGTGACAAAATCAGGGATTGGACGGCGGTGTGGGGCGGGTAAGGGTTGTCTGGGACCAGATGGAAGGTCCGACTGAGGTGGTGGGACAGAATGTATACTATCCATGGGTGGACGAAATCTACGGAATGAATCGTGGTATTCATCAAAAGGAACAGGAGGTCCGGGACGGTCATAGTACGGATCATCGTACTTTGCTCTTCCTGCACTTGGTGGGCGGCTTTCAAAGGAATTTGAATGTGATGAACGCTGACGTGGATCCCACTGGGTCCGGGATTCTCGTGGGTCTCTGTCACGAGGTCTTACTGGTCTATCAAAACTCGACTGTTCATCTCCCTTAACATCAGAACCCAGACGACTAAGCATTTCACCTCTGGTAATAGCCTCTATACGAAGAGATGGGTGTGTTTGTTTTGCTTTAGAGTCTTCAGCAGACGCTTCATTTACAGCGCGACGACAGTTGTTTTCACTAATAAAGTCAATAAAAGCTGTGTTCCCGTCAGGAGCCACTCTCACTGCATCACCCGGAATCAGAATAGAGGGGAATAGATTCAGGACCTCAGAATCTTTCACTGCACGAGAAAATCCACTGACGCATGCACATGTTAAAAAGCCACCAGAGGCTTTAGTTGGTTCTGCATCTACATCACGCGGTACAGACAGCTTTACCGGCTCTTGAGTGCCTTCAGACTTATCCTCAACAGCCATAGATGAATAAGCAGACATTTGCAACTTTGATATCGGTGTCAAACGCACCGGCGGGAGTCCCATATCCGGTCGAAATGGTCGTGGCTTGGCGGAAAGCAGAATCTTGATGTCATCTGCAGAAGGAAGAGTAACAAGTGCCCTAGTCAGGTTGCCACTTCGTGGTGCAGACTTGTCACTAGTTGAAAACCTGGCAAGCACAACGTTTTCACAGGTTAGTCCAGGGGCACCCAAAAACCGCACAACTTCAGTCTTTGTGGTATCAGGTGGAAGTTCCGCCAGTTCAAGACATCCGTCAGCATAATGAGGGGGGCAAGACTGGTCAGTAGGTGGGAGCTTTTGGCAACCTCTGGAGGGCACTTCGAGATAAAATTTGTATCCCTGACACTGTAGAATTCGTTTAAGGATGAACTTACTACTTTTATAATATCCCCTTTATGAGGACGGTTATCAAAGCTGAGAGCTCTGTCATAAGAATCTCGAGTTGTCATCATAATGAACACATATCCAGTAGGACGTTGCATCAAGTCTTCTTCCACTCTTATACCCCACTTTGGAACAACTTGAACCCCACGCAATATATCGAAGACAGCTTTGATTCCAGCTTCTGGAGCAGGCAAACAAACGCGAAGTACATATTCAGTTTCCCCAGGAACCAGATCAGACGGATGACCATATGATGGAGGTGGAGGTCGACGCTTTCGAGGATAGTCCTCATAATCCGAAGCAGGAGGTTGGAATGGACGTTTAGGTGCCCCACTAGGTGCATCATCACCAAGCCACGGAGGTCTAACTGAGAAATCACGATCATCCTGCAACCTAGGATTAGGGTATGTAGTTTCTCGGTCAAGTGGATGAGCAGGACCACCCCTAGTTTCTGAGTGGTAAGCATGGTTGTTTCCTCGATTTAATTCCCGTGGTTGAACATCATGTGGAGAGAACCGATCACCAAACAGCCTAGGAGACGGTGCACGGTACTTACCATAATCCGGAGTGATATCATCCAAAGAATGACGAGTGGGATAGCGGTCAGCATAAGGATCTCTTGGGCTATTTCTAACTCCAGTATCCTTACTCCTCGGAATAAAGTTATCTTCAGGAATAGGGGGTGGGGGACGCCGACTGTAGTCATAATCTTCGTGATATGGTCGGTAGGGTAGGTCACCACGATCGTTCATATACGTATCTCTTGGACCAAAGTCACGAACAGGCGGGAACTCCCGAACATCGTCAAACCTAGGAGGTATATCCGGTTGGTTGTTGTAACCATAACTCCGGTCCCGATCTGAGTGACGAGGTCGATCTGATGGTAGATTCTCAGGATAATCGTCAGGTTTGTTGCGTAGTGTTGTGTCCAACTGTGCACGAGGTGGTGGGTCGAGAGTCGATGCAGCACCTTTATTGTAGGGGTAAGAAAACTGACCGGACGAGTCGTCGAAAGATTCTCGAACAGCCCCGTTCCTATACGATGGGAACGAACTAGGTAAGGTAGGAGCGGTCACATCCAGTGCATGCATTGTTTCAGTCTTCTGAGGGATAGGTTGGGAGAGGCTTGGATTTCCCCACCAGAAAACAAAGCCGAAGTTCTAGCAGATTCGATGATAGATTGCATTTCAGTTTTGCTACTTAGATACAAACGAACAGCAGCCCCATTGATTGTTTGGCGATCAAGTAACATAGCTTTCCTAGCATCTTCATCTGTAGCGAAGGCAATGAATGCATCACCTTCCGTGCCTCCAACAATATGCACACCACCCTCAGGAATCGACAATCCACTGAAAAAACGTCGAATATTTGAGGCGTTTGCAGAGATTGGTAGGTTTTGCAGTCGAATGATAACAGACATCGTTTACTCTGAAACCAGATAATAACCATGAGCAAGGATTAACCAAACACCTGTTACGGTGTAAAGCAAATTCTCCAAAATAATGAGGTACACTTGTCGACACTGTAAACAAAAGTTGAGTATTCTGATGAGGCAACTCTTGCTACAGGCCAAGAATTATTCCCAGTACACGGCTCTTGAGACAAAAAATTGATATGCTTGGAAAATTAATGTACATTATTGCACTGTTCGGAAGTATAGCTACCAATAAGGCGCACCGAGCTGCAATGCTACAAATCAGTTTCTTAGACTCCAATAGCTTGCAGTAGGTCACACCAACAGCTACTACCTCGACCCAGAGGTCAAAAGTTGAGTACCCCAAAGACCCCAACGGCTGTCGCTAAAGCAATTGGTATCTTTATTTACTATCATACCAGGAAGGTCTGTTAGATAGTGTTCACACAAAAAACAGTTACCACCAGTTTCAATACCTACGCTATGTTGCCACTCGAGCGAAAAATCGTACTGCTTGTTGGACGCAGTGCAAGAGCAGTGAGACTTTCCTTCTGGAAGAGATCAACTGTTTACGCCTGTGCTGCCTTCCGAAGTCAGAAGGGTAGCTACAAGAGTTGGTCCCAAAAATACAACACAAAACCTATCCAGCGATTCTCCAGTACCAGTGGTATGATTTTGTCTAGATTTACGTTATTCAAAGTTAAATCTCCAGCATACAAGACGACCTAACACTAACAACTTCAGGCAGATATCTTTTGAACCATAAGGTCACACCAATGTTACCATTACGACCGATATTTAAACGTACCTAGCGATCCTGTGCACGTTTTTCTAGTAGGGAATGAGCCGTGCCTAATGTGACGGCTGAGTACTAACTGCCTGGCTCCTCAGATCTCGGAATGAGTGTTCTGACGCGTGACTCACTGGTTGAAAGATAACTGTCCTAACTAATGAGCTGTAGCTCCAAATATCAGGATGAAGGTGGACCTACTGACTACCGCCCAGGTTGTTGCTCAAGTCTCTGGAGATTGGACTGTTAGTTCTCACGGTCCAGCAGGCGCATATGTAGCATTAAATTCTAGAGTAGAAAGTGTACTGTTTGACTGCATCCCAGCTGAGTCACCAACATATGCACTGTTCGACTGAATCGCAACTTGGAGACTAAATAAAATCATGAAACCCAACGTTGTCTCTTCTTCGCACTCACTGACTACAGCTAGAATGAAATAAAGGATGAGTTCTACAGAAACTTGTCCGCCTTCTAACTATCGAAAGTCAAACCATTAGATGTTGCCCTTGTAACAGCCGATTTCAGTGAGCAAATAGATCTAAAGAACTCAAAATATACTCGACAGCCATGTAGATTTGCGGCTCACCAGCCTAGGCACTCAATTCAAACTGATGCGTCATAGGTTTGAGAACTACACAATTTACCGGATAACCAAGTAGTAAGTGGTATTAACCCTCACACAACAGATGTGACTCATTCCCTAGTCCAAGAACGTGCACAAGGTTGTTGAATGGATCCCGATATTTTCCGAGAAGGCAATGAGCAACACTAATTGAGAGCTAATGACATTAACCCCTTGTCAAGACCATAGAAGGTGGAGCTCGGTTCGAACCCGTGGTACTTTCGTAATCACAGCCGAATGAACTGGTAACTGCCATCATCTGCTACAATTATGCTCAGACAATCACTCATTTCCGGACAGCACAGAATTCGGACATATAGACGTTGTCTGACGTGTCGTCCACTAACCCCAATCCAGTGGTGGACATAGAGTATATTCCTATCAGTTATCGCAAGATAAGGTCGTTAGATGACTGCCGATTCCCCTAGTGCACTTGTTTTCGCAGCAACTACAAGTTTGTTTAGTTTTATTCCGTGCCTAAATAGACGTAGGGAAAACACAGCACCAAGACCACTACTCGACAATGAAAGCATTGCGGATGCTTTCAGCGAGAATCACAAGAAGAAGCCTGGTGACATTTCTAGTCAGTCGTAAAAAGTGTTGAAGACGATAGGTGATTTGAAGACAGTTGCCTAAAAGAGCCAGTCCATCTTAGCAGCTCCTGGTAAATTAATGGATGTACAAGGCTTTATAGCTGCAGGCTTCAAGCAAAATGAGACAGGAGCAATCCAAATGTAGACTGACAAGAAGTCTACGCAATGACGGCAAAAAAATGCGGGTCAGAGAACTAGAAATAGTCAGTGGCGGCAGATAGCGCCAAGTAGTTATTTATACATATCAAGGGAACTGCAGTGAAATGGTCAGTGGTTGGTGAGACTCACGTTTAGAAAGATGGGTCTGCGATTTGCTTGCTGTTAGACTGAAAGGATGAGCGAAAAATCTCGACGAACAGTCCTGCCACTATTCAGTTATCTGCTGTCCAGTCGGACCCTGAATGGAACACCGAGACAGGACTGTAAACTCTCTTATAAGTCAAAAAAGCTGTAAGTAATCTCATACGAGGATGATTATCGAGAGCAGGCAGATAAGTATTTAAGGTTGGTGATCACGGATTACCAGTCGGATTAACGATAGTGTTAGTTACTGTATGGGGATCACCTCTGACTGGTCTCAACCACTGATTGTCCCAGTCTTAGGGAAAGGCGAGAAGTCACCCTGTGACAACTATCGAGCAACCAAACTGAGTACCACACTGGTTCTGCATTTTACGTCCTATAACTCCTAGATCTCGAATTAGAGCTCAGGAACACCAAACGCGAGAAAACCGGGCGGGCCGTGAGTAAACCCACCTGATTTTCACACTACACTATGTTTTGTAACACACCTACCAACTTCTGACACATGATTTATTTCTCGACCTGGAGGCGGCATTCAACTCCGTGGATCGGAAAGTCTTGTGGTGGTTTCTCACTGAAATGGATGACTAGTAAGTGAATCAATCTGTTGGAGACTCTGTACTCGAACACACGTGAGAAAGTCACTGCATATGACATTATTAGGTGAGCTGTGTCAAGTGGTATCCGTCAACGATGTCCATTCTTATTCAACTTTTAATTATATACGCAGGTATCCGACTCCCTCTCATCGTTTGACATCATCATGTGGTGCACTATCTTAGCATTACTACCGTCGCCGAGCTAACGACTTGTGCTACATGGCCAGTACTCCTTTGTGAGAAAAATACTTGTACGACCTTGTAAACTAGCCATCAAAGGTAATGAGATTACAAAAGCATGCATAGTAAGACAATCTTACTGCTGGGAATATATTTATAACCATGACAGAATACGAGTGCTCAGTACTAATCTAATGAGTTCCAGTCTATTTATGATACTGCCAGGTAATATCTTCAGAAATTGGAGTGTTCTGGGCAATATGTGATATCAAACAATGATTAACAACATGAAACCAACTTACATGAACCAATGTTTACGTCTTGAGGCTACACCAACATGGTCGCTCTCGAGCACAAGAAAACAACTTCCATTAAACGTTCAATATGCCATCAAAGTTCGTACCTAAGATGTGTTCATATGACGTCCAAGATGTTAATCCTGTTTACTAAAAGAATTTTTCTTGCCCCATTCCTTAAAACATATCATTTCTTCAATCTTGTAATAATCATAGACGAGGAAAGTAATTTTTTAACTTTCTCACTTTCCATATATGTTCTACTTGTTGGTATTCAGCTTTGAACTTCGAGTGAGAAACAGTTTCATCCCACTATTAGTAACTAAGCATCAGCCTAGAAGAAAACTCTCTTTCTTCAGTGTCTGATAACTCAATCGTTAGAGCAGCCCTACTTGCATTGTCTTTCAAAGATTTCTACTCGACCCTTCATCTTCTAGAATACCTACCATTTAGTTACATGAAATACTTCAGCTGTCAGAGAATCTGCTCTCATTTAGCAAATCTGTGGACAATTGGCAGTAAGAATGATGTAAGGCGTATGGAGCGATCAGAGAGTCAACAAACCACATTTTATTTAATAATTTAGCATAATGTGACGTCTGCTAGGTACCTCACAACTAATGATCACACCATGTGAGCGGGTAACTTTCAAACACCTCGAATGAACGACACCCTGGCGTCCAATCAGCTGATGACCTTTCTTGTCCTTACCATCTATCCCATACACCTAAGGAATGCATGTTTCGAAGTCATAGAAGGTATTTTGTCGATTTACGATAAGCAACATTATATCCTGCGTAACAATTAACCACCCTGCATCCGAAATACAACACAACAGTATGTGCACCAAACCTACGATCGAAGTAACCTTTCGGCCAGATGCAAATAATGGCTACCAAAGTGGTAAGCCGTCTAAGTAATGTTCGACAGGATTCTGGACCTAGAAAGCTCTCAAATGTCACGACTAATTTAACCATTCTTAATCACCCTCTGTACCGGACAGTCATAAACGAACCAAAAATACTCGAAAGTCATTGGAAGGAGTTCGAAATGTACTCATTTCGTGAAGTATGGACATTTTTCTTGATCGCAGATCATACATTCCGGCCCTATCTGTGGATGTCTACCAACGAAAATCACATCAATACGTATATCAAATGTCTAATAACTTTATACGAGCTTTTACAAATCAGTAGATTTATCCGCTCTCGCTCCTAGGCCTTCTGAAAAGGACCCAGATCTTTGGAGGGTTTTAATGTAGGTCTACCCGCTCACCTTCAGTAGCTTTGGAATGTCCGGCGGATGGTTAAGGGTTGTTTAAGTTGGTAGGGGTTAGGTCATTTGTGCAAGGGCTATAGTGCGGATGGATTTCTCAAGTGTTTTGTCACCAGACAGTTATTTGGACTGTAGAAAGAAGGTAGGAAGAATAGAAATAAGTCCAGTGAAAACGGGGGAGAGGAAACAAGAAAAACAATCAAGATGAAGGGATAAATGTAGATTTGGGGAAGATGAGTAAACCCATAGTGATAACAAGAACCTAAACAAACGGGGTGGAACGCAGAGCCAGAGGGAGGGGAAGGTGCAGGCCGGATAACGGTATGGATGACGGGAGTAGAAATAATA